ATCACTGTGTGAATTCATCGTTGTATGAAGCAATCGTTGTGCGAGGCACCACTGTACTAAAATATTTATGGAATGTGAGAGGGTGTACTCACTTCTGTGATATACTGTAAAAGAAACTGCTTTAAGAGGTTCCATATTAAAAAGCAATAAAATTTATTTCCTGCAACACTTAGACCGACCAAAAGTAGAGCAAACTGATTATTCTGAAATAATACTAGCAATGTGAGATCTGTTTAACCAAATCTAAATCAGAAGTGTGAATAAGTGACCAGCAATACAAATCTCTCATTCATGTATATTGCCTTGGAAAATGCATGGTTAAAGTATAGAAACATGTAATTATGTAAGTCTATTAAACACCATTAGCAAGCTATACATACACAAGGCAGTTATTGGGCAAATTACAAGACTGGCTGCTTAGAGGAGAATATACTTGCAGAGGAACAAGCCGAATTTGAACAAATAGCTGGTGTGATGGTAAACCAGTTCAAAATTTGTTATGGCTGCATACCGTTGAAAATACAGTGGTGCCTCGCTTAGCGACGTTAATCCGTGCAGGAAAAAATGTCACTAAGGGATTTCGTTGCTAAGTGATTTTAAAAAGCCCATAGAAATGCATTAAAACGTGTTTAATGTGTTCCTATGGGCTTCAAAACTGACCTTATGCGAAGATCCTCCATAGGGGCGGCCATTTTCAGTGCCTCTAAAGCAAGGACACACAGCGGGTGGCCATTTTGTTTTTCCAGTGGCCATTTTGAAACTGCCGATCAGCTGTTTAGAAAGGGTCGCTTTGCCATGATCGCTTCCCCGCGATCATCGCACAGCGATTTTTACCCATAGGGACCATCGCTAAGCAATCGCTCTGGCAATGGCCAAAACCCCATCGCTAAGCGATTTCATCGCTCAATGGAGCGATCGCTAAGCGAGGCACCACTGTAATGCTGATCTTTGCATTGAACAATGAGATTCACTAATGCATCATATATTTTGCAAGGATATAAAGTGTTATATACATTCATAATACTGTTCCTAATAGGAGGAAAAGGAAATACTGGATCCCCCTGGTGAATAACCAGTTTAGCAAACAGTGTTACATGCCTGTTCTTTTGACATTATATGGGAGAAAAACATTTAGTTTCGTATTTGTTTATTTAATTGAATAATTTTTGGGTCAGCCTGAAAAATGACCATGTCTAGTCAGCTGTATTGAATGATTGTTGTCACAATTTATACTTCGTTGTAGTTGTATATTTGAACCAGAGGGGAATGCATGCAGTCTGACGGACAGCACAGCTGAAGAACATGTCCTGGCTTTGGTGGAACATGCTGCCGATGAAGCACGAGATCGCATCAATCGATGTCTCCCAAACAGCAAGGTCTTGCCATTTGATTCTATTGTTTGACTAATATACAAGGACAATATTTTGGTTCTGATTAAATAGGCATTTTTCCATGGAATCTGATGCTATATGCAGTGTGAATAGTTCCTGTTTTGTGCCTTTATGGATCTTAAATTTCCAGAACAGAGTATTCACATAAAGACAAGACATTATTCAGGCTCTAGGCTGAACGTATCTTGAAACTATCACTTAAAAACTAGTCCTTAGTCTGCACGTGGTGAACATGTTTTTGTATTGCTGATTACAGCTTCTATAGATCACGGGAGTGGGGAAGTAGATGACTAATTCCTAAGGATTGGGTTAAATCATTTTTAACATATTAAACATTCTTAATTTATATATTTGAAAAATCATGCTCTGAAATTCCTTATATATTTCTTGGAAGACCAGGAGGAAAATGATACAAATTTGTGTTTTATTCTGAGCCCAGGAGATTAGTTTATCCATTTTGAGAGGAAACACATACGAATAAAATAAAGCTAAGTATTGTTTGTTTGTTGTATTTTTCAATGATCCAGTTAACGTAGACCTGTTAAACCTCATGTATGAGGATAATTTTAACCCAGAAATATTTTCTTTGGTAGAATTCACACAGAACCAGACCTACAATGCAGGCATTTTTTTACCATTATAGCCAGAACAATTACAATCTATGTCTCCAGAGCTCTGTCACTTCCTACATAGAATATTCATTTTTGTTCTTTTTTGCTTATAAAAAAATCAGTAAAAGCCAGGACAAAAGATGATGGTACCAGTCTGTTGATTTTTGCTGCAAAAAACTGCCATGCCATTTTTAGATAAGCTATTACGTAGTTACAGAAGAAGTTATATACTCTGGTTATTAATGAATTTTTGAAATATAACATTGTCATTGGGATAAAGAAATTAAATCCAGGGTCTAATTCTGACCTTAACAGCATTGCTGATTCTCCTGCTAATCTACAATACACTAGAATCGTTATTATGATCAAAAAGTGCCCCCAGATAATCCTGATTTACAAGGGTTGGATGTGGTCACGTGACATACAAATAATAGATATTCATATGTGTTTAAGTACAGATAGGTTATCTGAAGAAGAATGGTGATGGGTCTTTGCTGTTCAGTGTTCTCAATCCATCAGATCCAGATGCAGAAGGTAATAGTTCTATAAGCTTCAATAAGCTTTGTTATAGTCATGCTTTTATTGATGCTTTGTTTTAGATTAGCTTTATTGGTAGAGAAATGTCAATTTAAAACTATGTTTTTATCCAAATTTATATAACCCAAACAATACATTCCTTTGAAGATCACAGTCAGTAATGATACATGTTGCACTGTATGAATTGGCAACAAAACAATCAAATTTTTACTGTGAGAAATTCTTGGCAGCATGCATTAAACTAACGTTAACATCTTTGAAAGCTTACTAGGAATATCTTCAAAATTATGCTGCATTTGTCAGTAGAGGTTTAGTCTAAAAAGAATTTTGTTATTGGTTAGATGACTGTGACATTGCTCTGAACTTGTGCTGTTATAAATACCTCCTCTGTTTATCCAACCAAACCTTCAACTATTTGGTTAAAATGTGGATGACTAAGTCTGATGCAAACAACAGGGATTAAAGGAAACCTGGACAAAACCAGGAGTGGGACTGCCTATACCATCAAATCCAGTCTGGACTCCTGTTCATTTTGCTGCTGCCTTTGACACAGTTGGGTAGGCAAAAGGTCAGAATCATAAATCAGTGTAGAAGAATGGCGCAATCTTCTACCATACTAGTGCTGTGTTAAGAGGCGGTTTTTTCAAAGTAGAAATGCACAGCTCTCTTAACACATCAGAGTACTATAGATCTCAGTTGCCTGTTTATACATACTCTTTATGTATGAATGTGGAACAGATAAAAAGAAATGATGGGGATTCACATTTTGTAATTCAGAATATTTCAAATGTGCAGTCTGAATTTTTGTTGTGGATGACTATTAAATATATTTTTTAATTTAACACAGAGGAAGAAACTCATCCAGTGGATCTGAGTTCTCTGTCCAGCAAATTACTGCCTGGTTTCACAGCAATGGGCTTCAAAGATGAAAGAAGACACAAAGGTAGCAATGGATAAAGCATTTTTGAAGCATTCAGAATATTTCAAATGTGCAGTCTGAATTTTTGTTGTGGATGACTATTAAATATATTTTTTAATTTAACACAGAGGAAGAAACTCATCCAGTGGATCTGAGTTCTCTGTCCAGCAAATTACTGCCTGGTTTCACAGCAATGGGCTTCAAAGATGAAAGAAGACACAAAGGTAGCAATGGATAAAGCATTTTTGAAGCAAATATCACATTTGTGTTCTAGATCAAATATTAATTATTATATTATATTATATTATTTATTTATTTAATTTATATGCCGCCCACACTACCTAAAGGTCTCTGGGCGGCTTACAATAATTAAAAAACAATACAATTTAGAACAATTAAAATACAATTAAAATATATATATAAATTGCCATCGGACTCACAGCTAATATTATTTCAATTAAAAGCCTTCTGGAACAGGAAGGTTTTGACCTGGTGCCGAAATGTCATCACGTCGGTGCCAGACGAATCTCAGTTGGGACGGCATTCCATAGTCTGAGGGCAGCTGCCAAAAAGGCCCTTTGTCTACAAGCCGTCCCTCTTACCTCCTTAAGGGACAGCTCTTTCAAAAGGGCCCCCTGGCTAGATCTTAACTGCCGGGTAGGTTCATATGGAAGGAGGCGGTCCTTCAGGTATCCAGGGCCCAAGCCGTTTAGGGCTTTATATGTCAAAACAAGCACTTTGAATTGGGCCCGGGCAGCAACTGGTAGCCAATGTAACTTATACAGAATCGGCTTGATATGTTCTGTGGCAGCTGCACCACTCACCAGCCGCGCAGCTCGATTCTGGACCAGTTGCANNNCAGGTAGGGCCGTAGCTGGTATAATTATAGTGATGCTTCGCAAGACGAAATTAATTCATTCCGTGAGTCGTGTCATATTGCAAAAATTTTGTCTTGCGAATCGTGGTACTAACGGTTGTGCAATTTAAAACAAACCAAAAAAGGCGGGGGGGAAATTGTATTGCGAAGCACGGCCATAGAAAAATTTGTCTCGCGAGTCACAAAAAAATCGCAAAACACTTTTGTCTTGCGAGTTTTTCATTGCATGAGGCATTCATCTTGTGAGGCATCACTGTATATTATATTATATTATATTATATTATATTATATTATATTATATTATATTATATTATATTATATTATATTATATTATATTATATGTCCTACAACGTCCAGTTGTAAAGAACAAAAATAATGTGTCTTAAAATGGCTTTGACTGTTTTTTGAACTTGTCATGTAATAATTAATACTATATGAATCATGACTAATAACACAAGAGATAACTGTATGACGAAACCATAGAAAATCACACAGCTTTTAGATGGTTGCAGCCGAGATATAACTTAGTGAAGGTATAACCTTTTGCTTCTACATGTAGCCCTTTTACACTTCCCTTCATGGCATTAGTTTTGAAACCAAGAAGACACTGTTTAGCTATACTTGACCATTTTCTTCAAATGTGTTTAGAATAAATCTTAAACATTGATTCGCATTTAAATGGTGGTTTCTGAAACAGGAACTCATAGTATTCCATTTATCCAAAACAGCACACCGTGATTCAATAGATACTTTCTGGTTTGTTCACACAGCAAAGGATGAAATGAAGGTCTTGAACTTGTAGACTAAAAGCTTGTTTGCATCTAAAGTATGTGTATTAAGTTGGCTTATGGTCATGCTAATTGTTAATAGTTCTATGATACTTGACCTGTAATACTTCCTTTTGTATGTATGAATCATCAAGTGGTACACATTACGAGGTGGAGAGCCTTTGGGAAGGAATCCCCAATCCAGTTTCCTAATGGGCCAGATGGTGTCATGGAATGGCACACTCTAGAACAGAGATGCCTCCCTTTATATTTTAGCATTATAGCTAGATCACTGACTGGCACTATTTGCACTAAAGTTTTGCCTGGATGCCTTGAAAAAATGACTTGAGTTCTGATGTTGAGCCAACACTTTGAAGCACTGCCAAGATGCAAGCTAGCCTTTGCCATTCCTTCACCTTCTTCATGTGAGGAAGATGAAGAAACTAGGAATGGCAAGTCCCAGGTTCAGGATTCATCCAGTTCCTTGAGTAACAGATGATTGCATCTAGCGTCACTCTTCTGTCTCATTCCTACATATGGCTGCAGCTTGGTTGCTCTCCCAGCTCTCTAGCTTCAAGAAGAAGGCATCCCAAAGGTCTCCATGTTTCAGGCTGGGGACTTCAGGAAGCCAGATCAGGCTTGTAGGCTGGAAGATTCCCACCTGATGCACAGATATGTGAATGAAGCCTAGAAAACCTGCCTTTCTTTTTTTTTCTTTCAAAACAGATTCCAAACACTGTCTTTTTCATTTTCAGTTACCTTTCTTTCAAGTGCTAATACAACACTTTCGATGCAAAACCACTCTATCTTTCATGATTTGAAAGCAGATGAAATGGAGCTACTATATTCAGCATATGGAGATGAAACTGGGATTCAGTGTGCCTTAAGGTAAATGCAACATTCAACTGTGTGCTATTTCACTACACCAGCCTAAATCTTTGAAAACTAGGAAATACAGAGCAGAGCAATTCACACAGGAAGTAACATAATTGACACAGAAAGGACTGCCCTTCAAACTATATCTTGGAAGTTATGTCACATTTTTAAAAAAAAACTTAGAAAGACAGCTGTGGAATAAAATGCAGAATGTTTTGTTTTTTATAGTATATATTTTAAGCTTCAGATGTGCATGCAGTTGATGGAATTGGTAATTTAATATTTCAGTTTCTTCCAGCTTGCAGGAATTTGTGAAAGATGCAGGGAGTTACAGTAAAAAAATTGTAGATGATCTGCTGGATCAGATCACTGGAGGAGATCATTCCAAAATTATTTATCAGCTGAAGCAGGTAAGTCTACATTTTGCAAACATAAATTAAAATCAGTTTGCATGGCTTAAATCGTTTGTCAGTACATATATTCTCAAAATTATGTTTCAGAAACACCAGCAAAAGAAAACAAAACATTCAATGTGTAGTTACATGGATTCTTCCTGTGCTGTATTGTGCCAACTTAAAAAAATAATAAAGTTATAAAGGTTAAAATTCCTTACAGTAAACATAATTAAAACCCTAAACTCTGTCCTAAATTTCTACAGTATAAATAATGTCTATTTCACTTAATTTAATAGAAATATTATTTGTATTATATGTGTGTAATGTGTGGAGCATATAATCATAAAGAATTAAAAAGAACACCAGAAAAAGTTAATTCTTACTTTTGTAATTTTCAGAGGAGAAACATTCCAGTTAAGCCTCCGGAGGAAGTAAAAGTAAGTGTAAAAAAAAAAGGACACCTTTCTTATTGTACAAAATATTGTGACATCTTTGTATGTAGTTTAGAGAATATGGTTGAGCAGTGACACAAAATTACTCATAATAAATCAAGATTTTAGATATTTATGTACAGTGGTGCCTCAACTTAAGAACTTAATTGGCTCTGGAACTCCGGTTGTAACTCGAAATGGTCGTAAATTGAAGCACAGTTTCCCATAGGAATGCACTGAAATGTAATTAATCCGTTCCAGCCAAAGAAAAAAATCACCCAAAAAGAACACCCCACTGCAAGACTCCATCAAGAAACGCAATTAATCCGTTCTGGCCAAAAGGGGGAGGAGCAAACAAACCATGCAAGACCTTTCGGAAACACAATGTGTTCCGACCGAAGGAAAACAAAAAAGAAAAGCAAACAAACTGTGCCAGATCCTTCAGAAATGCAAAAAAAAAGCAAAGCAAAAAGCAAACAAACCATGCAAGTCCCATCGGAAACAATGTGTTCCGACCAAAGGAAAACAAAAAAGAAAACAAACAAACCGTGCAAGTCCCATCAGAAACGCGATTCATCTGTTCCGGCCAAAGGAAAACAAAAAAGAAAGCAAACAAACCATGCAAGACCCATTGGAAATGGAAAAAAACACACCAAAAAACAAACAGACCCTGCAAGACCCATTGGAAATTGGGGGGAACCCCCCCCAAAAAAACCTTCAAGACCCATCACAGCATAGAAACATAATCCCACCACCCAGCCTAAAACCAAGGTGCAAAACCCACCCAGAACAGTTTTTAAAAAGCAGAATGCAGCACCTTACTTTACCAGGCAGTCTGAAGCCTCCTCTGATCACACACTCTCTAATTGCTGGGGTGAAAGAGCTACAAAGAAGCAGCCTCTTTGCTGCCAATGGTTAGCAATTTGAATTCCTCGCCTTTTCCCCCTGCTTTTCTCTTGTTATAACTCGAAGCTCCGGTAGCAAGTAGAAGCAAAATTTTGTGGCCAGAGCTGGTCGTAACTCAAAATGGTCGTATGTCGGGATGTTCGTAAGATGAGGCATGACTTTATTCCCTAAATTATATAATTATTTACAGTAATATTCCAAATCTGCAATAAGGTAAAAGACTTGAAAGGATGAGCATTCAGATAGTTGAGGGAAGCTACAGTATATCACAGAAGTGAGTACACCCCCTCACATTTCATAAATATTTTAGTACAGTGGTGCCTCGCACAACGAGTGCCTCACACAACGATGAATTCACACAACGATGCCTTTTTCTGTTAAATTTGCTGCCTCACACAGTGATGTTTCCTCTGGGGGATTTTCACACAACGATCTCCCTTTTCGCTCCTGTAAAAGTGTCTTACAATGTTTGGACGCTGTTTTAAATGATTGCAATGGTTAGTCCACCTCCTGAAACCTATGCAAACTGATTTTGGTGTTGTTCTGACACTTCGTTAATTTATGATGATTTTTTGAATTTTCTCCATTGGAAACCATTGGATGGTCTGTCTAATGGTTTCCAATTTCAGGAGGTGGACTAACCATTGCAATCATTTAAAACAGCGTCCAAACATTGTAAGACACTTTTACAGGAGCGAAAAAGGACTTCGCAAAGGCATTGAAATGTATTGAGTCGGCTTCAATACATTCCAATATAGGAAACATTATTTCACTCAACGATGTTTCCTATGGGGATTTTCACTGAACGATGGCAATCCGTTCCAATTGGAACGGATTAACCGGTTTTCAATGCATTCCTATGAGAAATGGTGTTTCACAGAACGATGTTTCACACAACGTTGATTTTTTTGGAACCAATTAACATTGTTGTGTGAGGCACCACTGTATATCTTTTCATGTGACAGCCTTGAAGAAATGACACTTGGCTACAATGTAAAGCAGTGAGCATATAGATTGTGTAACTGTGTGAATGTGCTGTCCCCTCAAAATAACGCAACACACAGCCATTAATGTCTAAACCGCTGGCAAGAAAAATGAGTACACCCCTAGGTGACAAGGTCCAAATTGGGCACAAAGTGTCAGTTTTTGGTGTGGCCACCATTATTTTCCAGCACTGCCTAAACCCTCTTGGGCATAAAGTTCACCAAGGCTTCACAGGTTGCCACTGGAGTTCTCTTCCACTCCTCCATGATGCCATCAGAGAGCTGATGGATGTTAGAGACCTTGCACACCTTCACCTTCCATTTCAGGATGCCCCACAGATTTGATGGATTGATTGACTGATTGATTTAATTTATATGCCGCCCACACTACCCAAAGGTCTCTAGAGTTTAGATCTGGAGACATGCTTGACCAGTCCATCACCCTCAGCTTCTTTAGCAAGGCAGTGGTCATTTGAAGCTGTGTTTGGGGTCATTATCATCTTGGAATACTGCCCTGCAGCCCAGTCTCCGAAGGGAGGGGATCATGCTGTGCTTCAGTATGTCACAGTACATATTGGCATTCATGGTTCCCTCAATGAAGTGTAGCTCCCCAGTGCCTGCAAGCACTCATGCAGTCCCAGACCATAATACTCCCACCACCATGCTTGACTGTAGGCATGACACACTTGTCTTTGTACTCCTTACCTGGTTGCTGCCACACACACTTGACACCATCTGAACCAAATAAGTTTATCTTGGCCTCATTGGACCACAGGACATGATTCCAGAAATCCATGGCCTTAGTCTGCTTGTCCGCAGCAAACTGTATGTGGGCTTTCTTGTGCATCATCATTAGAAGAGGCTTCCTTCTGGGATGACAGCCCTGGAGACCAATTTGATGCAGTGTGCGTCTTACAGTCTGAGGACTGACAGACTGACCCCCACCCCTTCAACCTCTGTAGCAATGCTGGCAGCAGTCGTACATCTATTTCCCAAAGCCAACCTCTGGATATGAC